CTCCTGGCAATACTCTGTTCGTATTGACCCTATCATAATTTTTGTTGGTAGCATTGCCTCAGCCCCGTAAGCCAGGCTGAACGGTGTTTCCTTTGTGATAGTCTGTAGCGTGGTTCGATATGACCAAAGGACTTCCGGTAGCTCGTCTACCCAGTTACATTTTGCTTTGCCCGGCCGCTTCTTGATCCCTTGTACCAACGTCCTATTAGACACCTCTGTTTGCCCGTTGGCTTGGGGGTGCGCCACGGATTTGAATCTCTGCTCTATTCTTCTTTCGCTACACCAGCCCCTGAAAGGATTCTTGACGAACTGCAAACCATTATCACTGATTAAGATTTTGGGTTTCCTAAATCTCGTTATGATATTCTTCCAAACGAATTTGATTATCTGTTTTCCAGTGATACACACCAACGGTTCGGCCTCTATCCACTTTGTGAAATAGTCGACCACTACAACTAAGAACTTTACTTTCCCTGGTGCTTCTGGAAAAGGGCCGACGATATCAATCCCCCACTGATAGAAAGGCCACGGGTTAACTATACTCGTTAACTTGGATGGTGGTATCCCTTGTTTTGGCGAGAAAGTTTGACATTCTACGCAAGCCCGGGTTAGTTCGACTGCGTCCTGATGTATGTCTGCCAGTAGAGCCCCATGCGTAGTACTTTGCCTGTGAGCGCTCGTGCTCCCTCATGGGCTCCAGCTGACCCTGCATGGGCTTCCTTTAGAGCCTTCTTCCCTGACTCACCATCTATGCACTTGAGCCATGGAGTCGTATAGCCTTTTCTATACAGTGTTCTCCCCAGGATTGCATATTGGGGGGCTCGTATCCTTGTTTTCCAAGCCTCCCCGTGGTCGTCGGGGAGTACGCCATGCTGCAGGTAGTCCATGATGGGTGTCATCCAGTTGGGTTGCGCTGTTGATAGGGAATCAACATGGCGCTTGTCGATACTCCTTTCTTTTAGTACCTCCACCAATACTTCCTTTGAAAGGTTCCCAAAGCATGTTGACGCTAGCTTGCTGAGGGCATCTGCTCGCCTATTGTTTCCCCTTGAAATCTGCTTTATTGTGAAACTCTTTAGCGAGCTCGTGATTCATTGTACCGCCTTGACATACTTATCCATTCGCTTATCCTTTACTTCGAATTCCCCTGAGACTTGGTTGGTTGCTAGGCGTGGATCAGTTAAGGCCATAACCCTTTCCGCCCCCATTTTTACTGCCAATCTGAGTCCAGCCAGCAAGGCTTCGTACTCGGCTTCGTTGTTGGAGGTGCGGAAGTCGAAACGTAAAGCGCATGTGACTTCTTCGCCCGTAGGGCTGGTTAGGATTAGCCCTGTGCCTGACCCTTCTTTACTGGAAGCCCCGTCCGTGTAAAGAATCCACTGCTGGTCAGTCTTCCCCTGTGACCCCCCTTGCGGGGTCGTGTTGGCTGCTTCTTGCTGGAGTTCCCCTGGGATTTCGAGTAAGAAATCCGCTAATGCCTGTCCCTTGATGCTTACTCTGGGATGATAGCTAATGTCGTGCTCTCCCAATTCTTTGGCCCATTTTGCGAGTCGTCCTGATGTTTTTGGCTTCAGGAGCACTTGTTCGATCGGGCAGCTAGTCAACACTTCTATTTGGTGGGCCTGGGAGTATCGACGGAACCTGCACGCTGTGTAGATTAAGGCGAGCACTAGTTTCTTGATGATTGGGTAGTTGATTTCGGGTCCCTGCAGGGCCCGACTCACAAAGTAGATCGGGAGCTGCCGCCCCTGCCTCTCAACTACCAGCACTGATGAAATGGCGTCCCTTGATGCGGATAGATAAACTTGCAGTATTTCTCTGGGTATTGGGCTAGCCAGAGTGGGGAGTGCATGGAGCGCCCTTTTTATCTTTTGTAGTGCCGATTTGGCTTCTTCCGTCCATTGGAAGTTATTCTTTTCTATGCACCCTTTGAGCGTATGGAACAGCGGCATGGCTTTTTCAGCTGACTTGGAAATGAACCGGTTGAGCACTGTTAGCTTTCCATTCAAGCCTTGTGCATCCCTTAGCGTGCTAGGCGAAGGCGTTTCCTCGAGCTCACTTATCTTAGTTGGGCTTGGCTGAATTCCTTCCCTTGTCACATAATACCCCAGGAATTGTCCTTCTTCTACCCCGAAAGTGCATTTAGCGGGGTTTAACTTCATCTTAGCTCTTTCCAAGGTTTGTAGTGTCTCTTCTACGTCTCGTAGCAGCTTCTGCTCGTCTGGGCTTTTGATGACCATGTCGTCGACGTAGACTTCGATGTTACGACCGATTTGATTGGCGAACAAAGAGTCGACGAGTCTCTGGTAAGTTGCTCCAACGTTCCTTAGCCCAAACGGCATTTTTGTGTAGCAGAAAGTACCATGGTCTGTGTAGAAGGCTGTTTTCTCTTCGTCGTTTTTGCTCATCAAGATTTGATGATACCCCTTGTATGCGTCTAGGAAGCATTTCCACTGGAACCCTTGCAGAGACTCTACCTTCTGGTCTATTTCTGGTAACGGGTAGCAGTCTTTGGGGCATACCTTGTTGAGATCTGAGTAATCAATGCACATACGCCAACTACCGTCGTGCTTTTTTACCATTACCGGATTGGCAATCCATGTAGGGAAAATCGCTTCTCTAAGGATTCCGGAGCTGGTTAATTTGGCTACCTCTGCATTGATTGCCTTGTTTCGGTCCCCACCTTGGACCCGTTTCTTCTGCTTTATCTCCTTGGTTCCTGGTTTTATCATCAGCTTGTGTTCTATGATTCCTCGGTCGACCCCTACCATGTCTGTGGGCGTCCAAGCGAATACGTGCTTATACTTCTGTAGGAGTTCGACTAGCACTCCTCTTGTTTTCGCGGGGAGGGCTGTTCCCACAATCACCCGCTGGTCTGGGTATTCCCTGTTGATTACTTCTCCCCCGTCTGACAAATCCGGTCTCGGTCTCTTGGCTTCGGCTGAGATGTCTTTTGGTTGCATGATCTCGTAACACTTGAGCTCCCTTGTGGGTGTGGCTAAAATCGTTCCCGGTCCCTGGGTTGTGCTGAATTTGATTATCTCGTGGATTTTTGATGGGACTGCTCCGAACTTCAGTAGAGCCGTCCGTCCCAATATGATGTTATGCTCCGATGGGTGTCGTATGACTATAAAGTCTACCAGAGCAGTCTGTCGCCTAGTTTTGTCTTGGCTGATTAGTGTAAATGGCAAGTGGATCGTACCTAAGGGCCACAAACTATGCCCATTGAATCCTGTGAGTTGGCATGTAGCTAGCCTTAGTCCTTCCTTCCAGGTGTTTGGTAGCCGCCGGAAACAATGTTCGTAAATGATGTCCGCGGAACATCTAGTGTCGACGTATACTTGGTGGACAATGACATCCCGAATGGATCCTTGGATGACGAGGGGGTTGTCTCCACTCCAACCAACAGGGCTTGGGTCGTGTACAGAGAATGTCAGTCCGTGCATTTCCTCTGTGATGCTTCGTGTGCCCTCCGTGCGTTCCGCTCTCCCCCTTTTGTGGTGTATCGTCAAGATTTCCAACCTACGATCTGTCTTTCCAGTGGCGTCTTTGGAGTTTTCTGCGTCGAACTTAGCCCGTAGGCTCTTGGCGATTTCTATCGCGTTGCCTTTTAGTTGTTTTTCTTCAATTTCCCTTTTTAGAACTACACAATTGATTGTGTCATGCGTCCTGCTTTTGTGATACTCACAATATCGCGTTTTAGTGCCTTTTGCTGCTGGTTTCTCGTCGACCGCATAGACTTCTGCTCGTCTTCCCCGCCTTTCATCTTTAACGAAAGGTCTAAAGCGTCCTGACAATCGTCTGTCTCGCCCCATGAATCCCCCCCCCCCCCCCGAGGATCGGGGTGGGGGTAGGGTGGTGGCCTTGCCTTCCGACGGAGGCTGTCATGGCATTGAGGTATGCCTGCTTCGACGCTTCGCCTTCCTCCTGGTGTAGGAATCCTTCCACTCGCTCTTTTAGTTCTGCCTTTGTCTGAGGTTGCTTGTCCATGATCTTCTGGGATAGTGATCCCGGTAACAGTCCGCAGGTGAATGCCCCCGCAATTAGACCTTCGACATGCCCTGGGACGTCTAGCGTTGCTTTAGTGAATCTGGCGAAATAGTCTTTGACTGTCTCCCCCTCCCGTTTCTTGCATCCAATGATCGAGTGGCAATCGCCTTTGTATTTCTGGAGTTGCATGAAGTTAGTTAGGAAAAGGTACTTCAGCTGACTGAAGTTGCTGATGCTGCCCGAGCGTAGTGTCTTGAACCATATCCCTGCATTGCCATCTAAGGTAGTGGGAAAGTATGTGCACCAGAATCCTTCATCTAGCTTGAGGGACGTCATGATCCGTTCGTATGTATCAATGTGGCTATTTGGGTCAGTAGTGCCATCGTATGTTTTAAGGTGGGGTAGTTTGGTGGTGTTAGGAATTTCATATTCCAGGAGCTCTTTGACGAATGGCGATGTAACACTTCGTGTTAAGCAATCTTGGGTTAGGGTTCGATGATTGAAGTGATACCCTGACTGTTGCATTGCCAATAAGGGCTGTACTAACATGTTTTTATAGGATGTAAGGTCCGGCATTACCGAGCCGTAGAAGTTTGACGGCTGAAATGGAGTAGGGAAGGTATGAGACATGGGTATTTGTTGTTGGGCCATGGGTATTTGTTGTTGGGTCATGGGTATTTGATGTTGGGTCATGGGTATGTGTTGTTGGGTCATGGGTATTTGCTGGTAAAGCGCGAGTGGTGATGTTGACATGGTGCCCGCCATCAATGACGGGTGGCTCTGCGGTTGTGGTGTAACGTTTGGGCCGGTTATAGCGTTGTTCGCATGTGAACTGTTTACGAAAGGCGTCATGGGTGTTGTTTGAAAGTTGTTAGGATTGATGGTGTTAGGGAAGAATGACGGCGAAGTGGGTACTATGTATTGGTTAGACACACTGTTGTTTGGGAATGGGGGGTGTTGTGTGAGTCGGAGTGGATGGCGATGTTTGACTCTGGGTTAAAACCGATTGCATGATTGCTGCAACGGAGGGCGATGGGCCATCTAGTTGCAGTGCCGTCATGGGATATGGTGGCGGACCACCGGATGTCGGTGCTGTCAGAAGAGATGGTGGCAAGCCACCAGATGATGGTGTCGGTTCAAGAGACGGTGGCGGGCCGCCGGATAATGGTACTGCCTCAAGGGATGGTGGCGGGCCGCCAGAGGGTGGTGCTACTTCAAGAGATGGTGGTGGGCAACCGAAAGATGGCGTTGTTGGGGTGTTGACTGCTTCCAACGACGTCATCGGGTGTATCGGGCTATGCGGTGGTTCCAATGACTCATCCTTCGTCTTCTTCGTCATGCGTGGTTAAGTTGAAAGACAAAAGAAAAAGGGGTTTGCGTATCTATTGTCACACAAAATGGATGGCGCCAAATGATGCGACCTGGCTCCGAACCACCTAAGCTACAGGGAGATGGTCGTCGGAATGGAACCTAAAAGGCCACAAATAAAGAAGAGGCGTCAGCCGCTCTCTGGGAGGAGGTCTCGGAAAGACGCTCCGACGGTCAAGTTAGTGAGATGAATCTGGAGTATGGAGGTAGATGGTCGGGGCAGAATAACTTACCTCTCAAGGTAGAGTAATCGGCCTTTTATACTGAAGATCTTCCTCGGTCCGTACGAGGGACAAGGACTGTGGTTCCGACAAGATCTGCCGTTCTTATTGGAGGGCCATGCTCACGTTTGTGTCCAGTCCAACGATTGGTCCAGGCGATAATGCTCTGAGTGCGCACTTTGTCGCCTGGAGCCATTATCCTTGGACTGTAGCTGAAGGATAATACTTGGCGGGGGCAGACATCCTATGCGATCGCCTCGCGGGAGTCCTGGGCCGCTGAGGCGGCCGAGTCGCTAGTCCGACTTCTCGTTGTGAGCGCATCGTCGGGGGTTCGCTTGCTTCTGGCCCGCTCTAAGGGGCGCGTCATCACAGAGCAATATATATCTTCTTTATTTTTCTCACCCTAGCCATCGGCACCTTCCAGCCGGCAGATCTCTCATTCATCCGATTCTTCCTTCTCTGCTACGGTATCTCCTGCTCTCTCTTTCATCATGTTTTCTAACATGGTGAATGATAAGCCATCCTCAACTATTAACATGAAAATGCACGTTGAATGCAGATGGTTCTTTATCTAAGTACAAAGCCCGCCTTGTTGCCAATGGACGTAGTTAGAGACCGGGAATAGATTGTGATGAGTCCTTCAGTCCGGTTGTTATGCCGGCCACTATTCGGACTTTTCTCAGCATAACTGTTACTCATCATTGGCCTATTTGATAGCTAGATGTGAAGAATGTTTTTCTTCATGGTCATTTGTAGGAGACAGTATATATGAGGCAACCTCCATGTTTTCGAGATCCTACAAGACTGGATCATGTTTGTTTGCTTCAATGATTTGACACGTTTATCTCTCGCATTGGTTTTGTCCACAACAAGTGTGATTCATCTCTTTTTATATACAACCATGGATCTCATATCGCATACATTCTTCTGTACGTGGATGACATTGTTCTCACTGGAACATCACAAGAGTTGCTGACACGTATTATATCTTTACTAAGTGTTGAGTTCTTTGTCTGACCTTGGTGACATGCACTACTTTCTTGGTATTTCATCTACTCGCACTAAAGATAGTCTCTTTTTGTCTCAACAACAGTATGCCAATGATATCCTTCTTTGGGCTAATATGCTTAATTGTAAACCTGCTCGCACTCCTGCTGATTTGTCAGCCAAGTTTGACGACTCCGGTTCCCCGGTTAAAGATTCTACTCTTTATCAAAGTCTGCAGGTGCCCTACAATATCTTACATTCACGAGACCAGACATCACATATGTTGTCCAACAGATCTGCTTATACATGCACAACCCTTGAGAATCACATTTTAATGCTTTGAAGCGCATCCTAAGCTACGTCTCACGACCTTCAACTCTTTATCTCTCCAAATCGTGACCTGATTGCTTACTCCGATGCTGACTGGGTGGTTGCCCTGTTACTGATGATCTACTATAGGATATTGTGTCTTTTTAGGACACAATATTCTTTCATGGTCGTCCAAACGTCAAAACACAGTCTCAAGGTCTAGTATAGAAGCTGAATACAGAGGTGTGGCAAATGCAGTGGCAGACACATGTTGGATCCGAAATCTTCTTCTTGAACTCCATTACTCACCACATCGGGCAACCATTGTATATTGTGATAATGTGAGTGTGGTTATATGTCGTCCAATCCAATTCAGCATCAACAAACTAAACATATCGAAATAGATCTTCATTTTGTGCAAGATAAAGTTGCTACCAGGCACATTCGAGTTCTTCATGTTCCGTCTTTGTCTCAGTATGTTGATATATTCACGAAGAGCCTATCGTCTCCTGTGTTTCTCGATTTTCAGTCCAATTTGAACGTCACAGATTCTCCTCCTGTTCTCACTGCAGGGGGCTGTTAGCGATATATATTATTTGTATTTGTATTATTTAGTATATATCCTGGCCCATCTGTATTATATCGGCCCTCATGATTTGTATGATGTATATATTGTTATTAATGAATGATAGATCACTTTTATGGGAAAATATTGATTATTTCAGGTTCCATTATAAGAAACGGTAATTAACTTCTTCTTTAATTCCTCTCTAACCAATTACCAAACCAAATGGGTAAGAAAATAAATGGATCACATTCCCTCCCACCAACAATCCAATAATCCAACACTAAAACAAAGTTATGGAAGATATTAGATATGCATAGAGGTAAATACTCGAGACCTTAATCACGTATAACAAACATGAATGGTCGTTCATTTTACTAAATAAAGTGCTAGCCGATACAATACTACTAAACTAGTAGTATTTATTTTCAGGTAGTAACAAAAAAACACAGCACTATATATACTACTAAGTCATGAACTTCCGAAAATGGTTAATTGAAACTTGATATATAGAAAGATAGGGATATATTTAAACTAAACTACCTAGATGAATAATATTTCTCAATTTCTTATCCTACAACTCTTCCTGACATTTAAAAACTAACAGCTCTGTTAATCAGCTAGCTAGGGTTTATCAATCGAAACATTGATAACCCTTTATACGAATTTCCAAATCCGAAAGAGTGATATGGTAGGTAGGAGTAAGATTGTACCTATTTACGTAAACATGGATAGCGATATTTGATTTTCAATCTCTATTCTTCGGAACTAATATACTCCCAAATAAAAAACTTCACACCATTGGCATTATCAACAATTGAGTGTTTTCTTGTCCTGGCAACATATACAACTCACAAGACATATAAGATCCAACCCACAGAGTAGTAAGTAGTTGTATATTTTTCTGGTGGGAGGTGATGAAAATTCCAAGAAGATTTTTCTGTTCCAAGAAGATTCATTGGGTTACCTGGGATCTTACAATTGCTTCAAAAGAAAAGAGGTGGTATTGGAATTGGAAGTTTAGAAGCTTTCAATCATGCGCTTCTTAAAAAATGGTGACAGAGGTTTATGTGTGAAAAAGACGCATTATGGGTTCATGTTGTTAAAGCAATCTGTGGGAAGAATGCATATATGGTGGGAGGTGTAAAACCTCGTGGGCAAAGTATTTAGCCAAGGATTATGAAGGCTTGGCATAAAATGAATGAAAAAGGTATTGTTCCAATGTCTTCTTTGTGTAGAAAAGTAGTTAGTGGCGAAGATATTATTTTTTGGGAAGATGTGTGGGTTGGTAGTATTCCTTTAAGTATTCGTTTCACTACTCTTTTCGGTCTTGAGAACAATAAAGGATGCATGTTAAATGACCGTTGGGTCGATAACTAGTAGAGATGGAATTGGCGTAGGGACCTTCATGAGGAGGTAGAAATTGATCAATTAAATTCTTTATTATCTTTGCTAAGTAACGTTGTAACGTCCCAAAAATTAAGATGAAACATTCCAAAAATACGGTCCAAAAATTTCGTTTTCAAATCATTATTAAAACCATAAATCATCCATACTCATAAATAAAATCATGTATCATGAATCATAAAGTATCATAATATTTGTTACATGTCAAAATCTCATATCAAAATATCAGAGTAAAACTCCCAGGCTGAAGACTGTGGTGTGTGCCATGCGATCATCCCGAGCCCTTCCCCTTACTAGTGGAAGTACCTGAAACCAAAACTAAAAATTGTAAGCACGAAGCTTAGTGAGTTCCCCAAACTACCACATACCATACAAATAACATGCAACTAGGAGATACACGCCCCTCCCACTCTCATGGAGATTCGGGCCCCTCCCACACTCCGCTGTCTAGGAGATTCGGGCCCCGCCCACACTCCGCTGTCTAGGAGATTCGGGCCCCGCCCACACTCCGTTATCTAGGAGATTTAGGCCCCACCCACACTCCGCTATCTAGGAGATTCGGGCCCTGCCCACACTCCGCTGTCTAGGAGATTCGGGCCCCGCCCACACTCCACTACTAACATGCATACGAGTATCACACACACAACAAGTACATCTACCAATGAATCACATATCTATACTCAAATAATAATATAAGCATCGGGCCCCTCCCACTCTAAACTACTATGAGCTTTGGGCCCCCGCCCACTCTATGCTACTACATATCACTTATACGGGTCGGCCTTGGTGCTGTAGACTCATTCCTACTGAAGGAAACTCACCTCGCAAGACTGACTACTGAAATCTTGAGCGAGGAATCCCTGAATGCTGCTCCGACGACTCTCCGGCTATCAATTCCATAATAACACTTAATCAGAATCTGTTAAACCTCTCTTAGGGTAAAATAACCATTTTACCCCTAGTCAAAGTCAAAGTCAAAGTCAAGGTCAACTCCCAGTCAAACCCAACTGGTCGAGTTATCTCTCAACTTGGCGAGTCCTTGAACGCTTAAACCTGTGGTCAACTGAGTCAACTCGTCGAGTCCCTTAACAGACTCGTCGAGTTCTTGCTGTCCTAACAATCGGGACAACCCGCTTCGACTCGTCGAGTCCTTCCCTGGACTCGGCGAGTTCCCCTGTCTGATTGAGGCATCTCAATGGATTAAGCTCCTACCATTTAGATCTATGTTCCTTAGTTCGTTTTCTCACTGGAAAGGCCATTCTAAGGCTAAAGTTTCGAACTTTACCCGTTCATAACTCTTCTTAAAGGGTTTAGACAAAACCCTAATTCCTTTAGGACATGAATCTTGTCCAAAAAACCTTAGAATCTCAAATCCACTCATGCAAACCTAGATCTAAGGTCTAGCTATCAGATGATCACTGAAAGTCTCAAGCTTGCTTCCATGCATGGCCCTTTTTGGCTCAAAAGGCCATAAATACTTCTTTAGCACTTG